GGCCAAGGCTGATGAGTAAATAGGGTGGGAAATCTGGATGTAAATGTGTGTTCAGAACTTTTGAATTTTAGAAAAATAAAATGGCACATATGCACTATACAAGGCAACAATCGTAATGGCATCTAGGACAACACCTGTTAACCAAATTAATATTTCTGCAATGACATATGAATAGTGATACTCAGATAAATTAAAGAGGTATAAATGAAAACCATAAACAATCTCATGTAAGTTTAGGTCAGATTCTTTGCCACAAAATAAGCACAATTCAGATTAGGTTGAAGGCTTTGTTATTGTTTTCAGTGATGGAGGGCCTGGCACTTAACAAGTGCTCTATCACTGAACTACATCCCAGCCCCCAGAATAGGTTTTAATGTGTCAAGTAAGTTATAAAAAAAAAACTTTTGGTTTTCCTAATTTCAAAATTTATTATTATAAATAAAGGATTGCAGATTGTGAATATTTTATGAAAACAATTCAGCCATCACCAAGTCCTATAGATTTTATTTTCTATCTTTTAGATCTGTCCTTTCCTCTCCATTCCATGCCACTAAATGCACCCAGCCCTTTGTAATTTCTCACTGGGAGGATCTTGAAGCGACAGCATCCTTTGGTTTCCTTCATCTGGTTTCCCTGTTTTTGCAGTTATAAATCCTTCCTCTACTTTGCTCCTTAATGCAGATCTGACCCTGCCATTCCTAAGATGCAGTCTTTATGGTTCCACATTATCTATCTCTGTAGGATGAAACCCAAAACATACGTATAAAGAAACTACAAATTGCTATTCAAAGCTTGATACTGTTTGATTCTTTGATACTAATCTGCAATGAAACTATTGCAGAAGTATGCTTAAGAAGTTTACTAGCAATCTGAGGGAGAAACAATATTTATGAACTCATTTTTAAAATGGGGTGATTTTTTTTCTAATCCACTTTTGTTGTATTTTATAAAATTAGTGGGCAACATTAGGTTGGAATTTCTTTTTTTAAAAAAAGAAAAAGCTTAGTCCAGTCCTTAACAACAGTTTGAGATATACTGGTGTATAACATCCTTAATACCACGCTTGAACACCTTCCAGGGCTCATTTCTAACCTCTCCACCTACCTTAACTCTCTACCCAGCAATAATAAACAATAATGCCTAGTTTTCCAAACACGGAGTTCTGTTTCGTGACTCCACACAAGCTCACACTCTAGTCTGATTTGACTTCCTTTCTTCCCAGAAATCTCTTCATACCTCAAAATTCTGGACTGCCTCATCACCTCTCTTGGATCCCTGTCTAAATCAGTCCCTCACAACAGGCAGAATAGGTAACTTGCCCTTAACACTTCTGTCATAGTTTGTACCCTTATTATTACAGTATGTTGTAATAATTTGTTTGTATGGCTATTCCCCTACTAGTCTTAAGTTCTATATAGAAAGAAGTTAGGAACATTTGTCTTTAAGAAGTGAAGCACTTCTTGTAAAAGAACTGAGTCATGAGTGCAGATACACCCTTATTATTCCAGCTACTAAGGAGGTTGAGGCAGTTCAAGACCAGCCTCAGCAATTTAGCAAACCTAAGATCCTAGGTTTGATCTTTAGCACGTGTGTACACACACACACACACACACACACACACACACACACACACGTGAAATTGAAGGATGACACTTCATGGACTAAATTGAAGGATAACACTTCATAGACCATAAATTCTGATGTTATTAGAGGAGAGGAAAAGAAAAAGGAGAATCATTACTTTATATTCATTTTTTTCTTTTTTTATATAGCTCTTTATTTTTTTATATTTATTTTTATGTGGTGCTAAGGATCGAATCCAGGGCCTCACAAGTACAAGGCAAGAGCTTTTACCATTGAGCTACAACCCCAGCCCTATATTCATTTTTTCTATTACCAGCAAGGATTTCAGCTTTCTATGTATAGTACCAGGGTGTGAATTAACTTACCAGAGTAGTGGACATTTAAGAATGCCAATGAGCCAGACTTGCAGGACTCACTGGAACTAAGAGGAAGAGAGACATAAAAACAAATGTCTCCACTTAAAAACAATTTTGTCCAGGCTCAGCCCCTTTTGCTCTAAATTTTGTTTTAATTGCCCTCTTCTTAGTTGCTCAGGCCTGTAAATAGCATCATCAATTCATTCATTTTAGAGGGCAAACCAGGTATCAGGTCTCTAAAGAGGTCCTGAGCTGAGGGTAATACAACTATATTGATATAGTGCATAAAGACCTCCTTGCAGAGGTGGGAGGAATTAATTTTGCCTGGAGGCGTGGAGGTGGTCCAGGAAGGAGAGGGTCCAGGAAGGTGAGTTTGAGCCACAGTGAGTGAGTCTTCAAGCATTTGGCACTGTGAAAAAGGGGGGAGGAGGAGTGAGCGGTGCAATCTGCTAGATGAAAATCTACACGTGCCTGGGAACAACAATCCTTCTGGTTCGCAGTGACTGGTTTGCAGTATCCTCACTCCTCTTCCACCCACTTTCTCCCTTTTCTTCACAATCTTTTTCCCCTTTTCCTGGAGAACTAGGTCCAAGGATGTTGTCTCCTTTCCTGAAAGAGACCAGTGTAGACAATAAAGAGAATATTAAACTTTGATTAAATGAGATCAGTTGATCTGCTGTGTGCATTTTGAGAACACTGATGGGGGAGGGGGGAGCAGGTGAGTCAGGTACCGATATGGTCCTAAATGAACAAGTGGGGCACTAAGGAGAATGCGGCCCATGCAGAAAAAGCAATGAAAATTTTTGTTTTTTTTCTCATTCCCTTTTTGTCCCTCCCCCAACACACACACACACACACACACACACACACACACACACACACACACCCCTCTTATCTTTGTGTTTTTCTATAGTTTCTCCTGGTCTTAGTCTCTCCTACCTCTCTCTCCCTTTGCTAAAGGCTGGAAATTCCTTGTTCTCAACGGAAGGGAGTAGGAGGGGAGTGGGGGTGGTAGGAGTGGGAGGGAAGCGAAGAACAGACATCTCAGCAGCTCCGGCGCGGGCTGCGGGGGCGCTCTGGGCCTCTGGCGGGGCCTGACAAGTCAATGATTTTTAAAATGTATATATTTTTAAATCCACACATAGATGGGCCCCAATACAAACCTAGATAGACAGAGAAACAGATATACAAGTAGATATAAAGAAACATAAATACATAAACTCAGGGTACTGAGCTTATTTATTTAAGACAATAGCGTCTTAAATTTGCTGTGCATTCTACAATTTGCAGAGTTTGTCACATAGTTTCTATTTGAACCTTATGACAATCTTGAGATACAAATACCCGGTAGTTTCACTCTCCCACACAGAGGTTCGCACCCGGACCCTTTCTGACTGCGTTTCAAAGAGTGGACAAGCCCCTTCCGCGGGATTTTACTCCCCTCCTTCCTCTCCCGCCAAGCATCCGCCCCAGGACGCGAGACCGGAGCCCTCAGAATTGCTCCTCCCTCCTCCTCTTTCCTGGACCCGGACCCAGGAGCCCATCACCCAGCAAGTTGCCGCCCCCTTCATTCACGCCCTACTCCGCCTCTTTCCACCGACGGGCGTAGCCCAGCAGATCCCAGGACTCAGCACCGCCCCAGGGGGGCCGGTGGGAGGGAGGGGGCGCCTGGAGCAGAGGCTGCGTGGGCGGAGGATGTGCGTCACGGGGAGCGTGGGCGGGGGAGGGCGGGGGCACGTGGAAACCCGGGGCCAGCGGCTGGCAGCCGGGACTCCAAAATAACCCGAGTGGGGGTGGGGGAGGGGCACTAACACTCCTCCAAGGGTGTTGGGAGGTGCCCCCGGAGGGAGCCCCTCTAGGTAAGCTTCTTCCTTGCAGGATGGGGTTTGGGATTGGAGGGGCCTTACTGGTTCCTACCACCCACATTATATGTGGTGTTTAAGAGGATGAAGACAAAAGTCTGAGCTACTGAGATCCTCCCAACCAATAACGCACCCTTTCTCCCCTACCCCCACCAGAAAAAGAAAGGTCCCCTGGCCAGGCTGGAATGTAGAACCAGCCGGGACCCACGCCACCCACGCCCTGCCTGACCGAGCCACTCAGAAGGGCGGAATGGGCGGGCGGGGCTGACGTTTGCATCTAAGGAGACCCTGGCCAGGGGCTAGTCCTCTAGCTTTCCCCCACCTCCTTTCCCCGCAGCCTAAACCCCCCACTTGCCCGCCCCCCCACCAGCCCTCCTAGTCGTGGGCGGGAGTGTAATGGGAACCAGATGGGGCTAGGAGAAAGCAAGGGGGGAGGGGCGGTGGGTTGCGAAGTGGGGCTAGGCTCCTTGAAGGAGCTCCTCCCTCTAGCTCTTCCACAGGGAATCACGTCGGACGCTCCGGACCTCTTGCTCATCTTTCACAACACTCTCTACAGCGAGTCCTCTAATAGACAGTCCTAGAAGAGGTGTTCTCCTTATCCCAGCTTTGCCACCTACTCCTCAAGAGGTCCCCAACCTCAGCACATAGGGTGTCATCCCCCCCATCCCTGCCTGATCACTAACAAAACGCCTTGCACCTAATCAACACGCACCTATCTGATGACTTCTAGCATAACCCGCCCAACCCTAGTCCCCAAACTCCGGCGCTGACTGGAGGCAGGGGTGTAGAAAGCCTGCGTTTCTGAGAGTTATCTTAAGAACTCCTTTTGGGGCTGGAGAAGGGCGCTGGGATATCTAAGGGATTCCTACAGAAGTCCGCGCTCACACTTGCCCTAAGTACCACTCCCTGGGAGTCAGATGCACGCACAAGAAAAAGCCGCGCACCCCAAAGCCTTCACCAACTTTTCCCTATACTCTCCTCTAACATTCACACGAACAGCAAGCACCACGAGGCCGGAGTGTGGGCAGCGGACTTTCGTGTAGTTGTTTAGACGAGTGTGCACTACGTGCGCTTCTCTGTGTCTTTGTGTACCTGTGCGTGGTTGTGAAACAGCGCTCTCAGCTTGGAGGGCCAGGGGTGGGGGGGGAGTAGGAATGTAGCCGGCGGGGCGCTCACGTGGGTACGTGGGCGCAGAGAGGGCCGGCTGTGCATCCGGCGTGGGCGGCAAGGAGCGACCTTGCCCCGCCCGCTGGGTCCCCAAGCTCGCCCTCCACAGCCCGGCCTCGGTCACCTCAGTCCCTGACTCGGCACCCTGACTCCGAGCACCCGCCCCCGCCCCCGCCCCTCTTGCCCCAGTCTCCTCTTTTCTGTCTTTGCTGCGGCGTCTCCGGCAGCCCAAAGGCCCGGGCGCCCACCCCCAACCCCTGGCCCCAGCCCCCGGCTCTGCCCACGCCCTCCTCCCGCCAGCCCAGCAGCCAGCGCAGCGCCGGGCCTCGCTCCCCGTGCGTCCTGCGGGGGTGGAGGCGCGGAGAGGCGGCAAGCGCAGCCGGGGAGGGGGGGGCAGAGGCATAGACAGAGGCGCGGAGGCTCGGAGAGAGAAGACGTGGAGGGAGGGACTGAGCCTGGACAGCGGTGGACACAGCATCGCGCCGGGCAAAGCAAAGCGTGCAGCAGGCACGGAGCGCCGGGCATCGAGAAGGCAGCCCAGGTGGTCTTCGACCGTCCATGCACAGAGCGCCCTCCCCCACAGCCGAGCAGCCGCCGGGCGGAGGGGACAGCGCCCGCCGGACTCAGCAGCCTAGACTCAAGTTAGTGGGCAAAGGGAGGCGGTGGGGAGTGGAGATGGGTGGAGCTGGACTCAGGAATGGGGTCCGGAGGGTGGAGGTCGAGGAGAGGACGTGGGGAAGTGGGACGGGGGTGGGGGGTGGAGACTGATGGAAAAGGGGGTGAGTCTTCGAATTAGGGGACCTTGGGAGAAGACAAGGAGCTGATGAAGCTGAATACAAAAGAGTACTATCTCGTTCTCCATTCCAGATTTACTCTATGGGCATGACCTAGCACTAGAACCCCCAGTAAAGAATGCGGGACCCCCTAAGTGCCTGGGGAAAGCCCAGAAGCTTGAGCTGGCGATAGTACGGAGGGTGGGGGACGCACAGCTGTATCTGTGTGTTGTTGGCACAGAGCGTGGTCCCCGGGTCCAGGAGAAGCTAGCGCCTTTGAGTTAAAGGCGCATCAGCCGGCTTGAAGCAGGGGATGCCTGAGGCGTCCCTTCCTGTATTTGACCGTTCCTTCACAGCGTGGGGAGGGGAGTTTCGGTGTGCAGCCTCTCGCTGAAGAGGCCTTCAGCGACTCCCCACTCTCCTTAAAAATGTAGGTGGAAAATAAGGGAGAGGAGAGTAGGCGGGAGCCCCCAGGCGGTTTTCGCCCACAGACGCTACCACTGTGGGAGTGTGTGGGTGGAACAGCCCCGGAGCAGAACAATTGAGGCGCCCCTCCCCTCCCCTCCCCCCTTGCCTGAGCTGAAGGGAGTGGGGAAGGCCACACCAGGGGAGGTCACAACTGAGGGGCACTGGGCAGGCTGGAAGGGAGGAGAGGTCTTGGAGGGAGAAAGCAAGGGGGAATGCCTAATTTGTGGGAAAGCTGAGGGTAGAGGAGAAGGGTCCACCTGCTTCACTGAGTAGGAAAGCCAGGGAAGGGGCCACACCCCTCCCTCAGCCACCTGGGCAGGGATGCTATCTGGCCAGCAGTGGGCCCCAGCAGTGGGCCCCACTGTGAGTAAGAGAGACTCCTATATTTTCTTTACTTTGGCAAGTTATGTTAAGTGGTATTAAGACTGTTCCCCGTTTAGAGTAAAAGGTGAGGATTGTTTTGAGGGAGAAAAAAGGTCCAGCCATCTCAGGGGTGCGATAATGGGCCTCAGCACTCCAGGTCTTTTTTGTCCCAGACCAAAAAGGTCGAAGATGAAGGGTAAGAGTCTGACTTATATAGACAGCACTGGCTTTTGGTGCTAAGGTTAGCCTGTGATGGCTCTGTCATGGTTAAGCCTCCAAGAGTGCCACATTCTCATAGTCTGTGTTCAGCTCTGGACATTGGGCAGAAAGAGTATTCAAAGGAGGGAGGGGAAGAAGAGGAGGCAAGAAAGAGAGGTCAATTGTTAGTGTGGGTTGGTACCCAGCAGGGGCATTTGCACTGACTGCCTCTTTTTTGTACCCTCCTCAGGGCCAGTGCCCGAGCCATGGCACTGCCTCGGACACTGGGGGAGCTGCAGCTGTACCGGGTCCTGCAGCGGGCCAATCTCCTTTCCTACTATGAGACTTTCATCCAGCAAGGAGGGGATGATGTGCAGCAGCTGTGTGAGGCTGGTGAGGAGGAGTTCCTGGAGATCATGGCACTTGTGGGCATGGCCACCAAGCCTCTCCATGTCCGACGCCTGCAGAAGGCACTGAGAGAGTGGGCCACCAATCCAGGGCTCTTCAGCCAACCAGTCCCTGCTGTGCCTGTCTCTAGCATTCCACTTTTCAAGATCTCTGAGACTGCGGGTACCCGGAAAGGGAGCATGAGCAATGGGCATGGCAGCCCAGGGGAAAAGGCGGGTAGTACCCGTAGTTTTAGCCCCAAGAGCCCCCTTGAACTTGGAGAGAAACTGTCACCACTGCCTGGGGGACCTGGGGCTGGGGACCCCAGGATCTGGCCAGGCCGGAGCACTCCAGAGTCGGACGTTGGAGCAGGAGGAGAAGAGGAGTCTGGTTCACCCCCCTTCTCCCCACCTGCAGGGGGAGGAGTCCCTGAGGGGACTGGGGCTGGAGGGATGGCAGCAGGTGGTGCTGGAGGTGGTCCAGACCGGCTGGAGCCAGAGATGGTACGGATGGTGGTGGAGAGTGTGGAGAGGATCTTCCGGAGCTTCCCAAGGGGTGATGCCGGGGAGGTCACATCACTGCTGAAGCTGAATAAGAAGCTGGCACGGAGTGTGGGGCACATATTTGAGATGGATGATAATGATAGCCAGAAGGAAGAGGAGATCCGCAAGTACAGCATCATCTATGGCCGCTTTGACTCCAAACGGCGGGAGGGCAAACAGCTCAGCCTGCATGAGGTGAGGACCCAGGTCCTCTCAGTACTGTCATTGACTCCTAGGTTTCAGTCTGCTTGCCTCTTGAGAATTTCTATATTCTCCAGCTCTGCTTCATAGCCCCTTGACCAGGACCCTTGTCCTGGACCCCCTCCTTCCCACACCCACCCTGGCTGCTGCAATGCCTTCATTCTTAGCAAGGAGAGCAGAGATAATAGGCAAGAGCTCAGCTGCTCAGTAATATTCACTTAAGACCCCACAGGAGTGGAGGAGGCCCTGAGCATTACTAGGAAGCAGTGGGTGCTGCTCTCTTGTCTTCCTCCCTTAGAAAATTGCTGTGTATTGTCCAAACAAAGCAAGCCTCCTGTGGATAGGTCTCTTTGATGGTAAAGTGGGGTGAGGTGGTCTGGGTAAAGCAATGGGGGAGTTAGGATTCTGTCTGTGCCTCCTCCACAGCTGACCATCAATGAGGCTGCTGCCCAGTTCTGCATGAGGGACAATACACTCTTACTTCGGAGGGTGGAGCTCTTCTCTCTGTCTCGACAAGTGGCCCGAGAGAGCACCTACCTGTCATCCTTGAAGGGCTCCAGGTGAGACCCCTTCCCTGGGTTCTTCCTAGATTGGAATGCTGCCAAGGAGTTGGATCACATCCCGACTTCCAGTTCAGGCAGCTCTAGACCTGCTTCCCACCCACCTGCATGCTTTGCCTTTGGCCAAGTTAACTTGTCTGAGGTCTGGTTCCTCCTCCCATCTGCCTTGGCTCCTCCCAACCCCCCACAGCAGCTATTGAGCTGGAGACTCCTACTCACTTAGCAGCTTTTCAGAGTTTTCAAGTAATGCATGTCCCTGACCAGATTCTATGCCTTGACCATCATGTGGCCCTCCCCTTCATCTCCTTTAATCTTTTCATCTTTATAGGCTCCACTCTGAAGAATTAGGAGGTCCCCCTCTAAAGAAGCTCAAACAGGAGGTAATGTTTTATGGGATGTTGTAGGGGTAGGAAAGCCTGCCCCAGCCTCCTACTTTGCCATGTTTTCATTTTCCCATTTGGGGTATCCACAGGTTGGAGAACAGAGTCACTCTGAAATCCAGCAGCCTCCTCCAGGCCCTGAGTCCTATGCATCCACATATCGTCCCAATCTGGAAGAGGACAGTGCTAGCCTGTCTGGGGAGAGTCTAGATGGACACTTGCAGGGTGAGTATGCATTAGAGCACTTCTCTCTTCATTGTGGGAAGACAGGGATGTGTGGGTGGGTGGGAGGATTGAGCCAGGAGCCACTGCCTGGAACAGGGTTGGGACGCCTGGCTGGATGGGGACAGAGGGCCTATGGGTCTGGCTGTGTGGATGAGGGTGGGGTTCCATTGGCTGCAGCCCCTTACCTGACAAGTGCCCATGCCCACAGCTGTGGGGTCGTGCCCAAGGCTGACGCCGCCCCCTGCTGACCTGCCCCTGGCATTGCCAGCCCATGGGCTATGGAGCCGCCACATCCTGCAGCAGACACTGATGGATGAGGGGCTGCGGCTCGCCCGCCTCGTCTCCCATGACCGCGTGGGCCGCCTCAGCCCCTGTGTGCCTGCGAAGCCACCTCTCGCAGGTGAGGCAGGCAGCAGTGCTGTCCCCAATCACCCCAGTCACCAGGCTCCAAACAACAATCCTGGTATCCTGGGACCTGGGGGGAGGAAGAGGGGACAGTAGGAGGGGTTCCAGCTAATCAGGCCTTTTGTGGAGTTGAAGGTGCTGCTATTCCCATTGGGGGGGTTGGACCCTGGTAAAGATCTGAGGGGCCGGGGGTGTAGAGAATGGAGGACGAAGGCAGCAGAAAGAAGTGTCATTAATAAGAGTAGCGTGTCTAGAACTTCCACTGATTCAGGGGGTGGAGCAGGCTAGGATTTGTGGGGATGGGTTGCCCAGCCTGGAAGCAGGGGAGCCCAAAGAGGGTTGCTTTGTGGACAGGGGAAGAGGGAGTGGGCCAGCAGAGGGCTGGGCAGCGGCTGGGCTGAGAGTGACGCAGCAGACAAAGCCACCAACCCTGGCTTGGTATTTTTAAACTCTGCGTGGGTGGGAAGTGGGGGCGGGGACTAGAAGGGGGGCTCTTCTTGAGGGAAGAACTGGGAGGCTGGCTTCCTGTGATCCCCTTGATTTGGCTACCAGAAAACTTGGGGGAGCAATGGTAGGGTGGGTGGGGCCTGGGTGGGGGCCAGAGATGAGTGGGGGTGGCACAGCCAGGAAAGGGGGGAGAGGGAGAGGTCAGAGCCAAACCGCCCCCGGGGCTCCTGACAGAACCAGAAATTCCAGCAGAGCAGAGGCGGCAGAGACAGAGACACACACAGAGACAGCTACACACGGCCAGAAAGGGGAGGGGGGCTGCACATACTTGGGTACCGAACCTTCCCCTCCCCAGGCACAGGCAGAGGGTATTAGATAGCATTTCAATAAACTAAGTATGTCTCACAGCTTTCTCTGCCCTTGCCTCTGTCCCTAGCTTCTCTGTCCTCAGCTTCTGCTCCACTGTTTTCTAACCTATGCTTTTTCCTTGCAGAGTTTGAAGAGGGACTGCTGGACCGATGCCCGGCCCCAGGACCCCATCCCGCACTGGTGGAGGGTCGCAGGAGCAGTGTGAAAGTGGAGGCCGAGGCCAGCCGGCAGTGAAGGAGGACCCAGGACCCCAACTTCTGGCTCAAACAGACCCTCACTTTCCATCCTTGGAACCAAGTCACCACCCCAATCCTTCCGCTGCCCTCCTCCTGCCTCCCCACCTGCTCCATGGGCACAGGACTATGGGGCTTCAAGCAATAATGAGCGGGGGCCTGGCGAGAGGACACATGGAGGGTGTGTGGTGCCCCCTCACCCCTGCCCAGAGCCCAAAGCAAGGGGCAAGGACTCTGCCTCCAGGGCAGCTGGGGCTCTCCTCTCCCTCACAAAACACACTCCCATTCTCTCTAGGTGGCCACCAGTGGTGTGAGCAGTCCGGACTGAGTTTGGACATGGGAAAGGGGGACTTCCCTGGGAAGGTCCAGCAGCTAAAAATGGCAACATTTCCTCTCAGAAAGGGGGGCCTGAGAACACTGGACCTTTCCTCCTCCCATCCCTGTCCTCATTTTTGTGCTTCTAGTTTGTTTCTTTAATTTAACGAGAGCTGCAGTTAGCCGGTCCATCCCTCTCTCCTCTGAGTCCTCAGCAGTTCTTCCCTCATGCCCTCTGGGGGAGGTGGATGGAGACTTCCTCCACCTGCCCCTGGGAGGCCTGGGTTGGATTCAGGGTCTCCCCAGGCAAGGCCAGACTGCAGCATCTGTCCAAACACTTAGAGCGTCTTTCTTTTCAGATTGTGTACAGTAGATTATTTATTTTGTTATTTTGGAATAAAATTTATTTTATGGCTTAGGATCCATGACCCCCTGAGAGGGGAAAAAAGGGTGGCATGGGGTGGGGCAGTGGAGGGAAGTGGGCAGTGGATGGGGAAAATAGAAGACAAGCAGTGGGCATGGCCCCCAGCACCCTGGAGAGCCACTCAGCAAGGCCTGGGCTCCTCTCAGGAAGGTCTGGGTCCTTGTCATCCTCTGGCTCCAGGCAACATTGAGGGTGTGGAGACACTGAAGCTATAGCCTATATGTAGATGTCACAGCCACACAGACCCACCTAGGCACTGTCACCTTAAAATGATGTTGGGTTAGCATACCAGAGGCCAGCATACTCCCTGGTGTCTTATACTTCCAAATTTGTGTTGTCACATAAGCAAAAGCAGATAGACACAAGTTATATGTGATCATGTAATGAATATATATGTCATGTCATAGTACGTTAACATGTCCCGGGTACACATAATTTCACACAGCCATACAGAGGTTTGGCTCCTGTACTGTATAATCTCATCTGTGTACCAAAAACCTAATAGGCAAGAATTCAGGGGAATTTGTCTTTCAGTCTAGCAAAATCCGTGTAAGTAGTCACGTGTCCAGGTCCCCCCTCTCTTCCCACCAAGGGTCTCCTGGATTACTACTACAGGATCCCAAAGTTGAGACCCAGACCCATGCCCTCAGTCTCTGGCCTCTAGTGCAAGTGTGTGCACATCTGTTTCTGCACATGCCCCTGGCTTAGAGTAAGAGAAGTCCTCTATGCCCTAATCTGTGATCCCTCCCAGCCCCATTCTCCCCAGAGAGCTGTGTGTATTCTACAGGTGCAGGTGTGTTGGGGCTTGTCTCTCAGTGCTGGAAGAGGGGGGACAGCGATGTGCAGTGGGAAGCAAGGAGTCAAGTGGCTCCCTCCACCATGCATTCTCCAGGCAGTCTTTTCCTCCTAATGGAGGAGTGGCTGGAGATGGAAGGCACCTGCATGAGCAGGTATCCAAGGCAGGTCCATGGAGACAATAGAAGAGCTGTCTCTGGGCTCCTCCTCCTCCGGTTGGAATCACCAACTGGGGTTAGCCCTCAAGTCCAGGTGGGACATTGAGATCCCAGACTGCCCGTAAGGAGTGGACTGCAGGAGGGGCTGGGCTCCCAAGGACCCTCCCCCTGCCTCTCCTTGACCTTCCAGGAGAAGCTTGGTGAGGTCCTGTTCAGTGGGGGGCAGCAGGGGAGGGAACATGTCCTCACCAACCCTGCGAGAAAAAAGAAAGGGGGAAGCAGTGGAATAGGCATAGCACCCGCTCCCCTGCTCCCACCCAGCTTCTGCCCCAGGCTGCCACTCACCAGGTGCTTTGGGGGAACCCTGCCACTGTCTGGTTTAGACAGTTGTCTTCTGCCATGGTCACATCTGGGCAGAGTAGGGGTTCAGGACTAGACACAGCATGCTCTTGAGGCTGGCACTGCAGTAGGCCTCTGCAGGGAACCAGAAAAGGAAATAAGAAGAAAGGAATGGAGTGAAGTCAAGGAAAAAGGGGAAGCATGGGGTCAGGAGGGGCTTTGTCACTCACTGGGGGTGAGGCTGGTCAAAGGACAGACTCATCTGGCTCAGGCTGGGGGGCATGTGCAGGTGTGGCCTAAAAGCAGAAAAGAAACAAAGAAAGGAAGGCTAGACAAAAGCAGGGTATTGCAAAGTCAAGACCACTAAGTGAGTTCTAGCACCGCCTTCTGAATTAGCTGCTCATTGAGTGTTTGACCATGAGCAGGCCATTTTTATACTCTGAGCAGTTTCCTCACCTATAAAATGTGATAGGGTTAGAGATAGGGGTGGCTTAGCCCATTTCTAATGTTTCTTTGGACTCTGAATTGGGGTGGTTTTAAATCCCCGCATTCCCCATCCTTCACCTCAGCTCAGAGCAGGGCAGATGTTGTATCTTAATGAAGAGCTAAGGTACACCTGAGTGATACTTGGGGAAGAAAAATGTCTAGGGCATTTCAAGATTGAAGTAAAGTAAAAATGAATAAGTAAAAATCAACACCGCAGCTGGGGGTATAAGTTAGTGATGAAGTGTGTTCTTAGCATGCATGAGGCCCCGGGTTATCCCTAGCACCTCAACCATTCCATCAATCAATAATAGCCAATAAATGACAGTAGATTTCAGATGCATAAGAGGAAATATTAAAATGGTCCTTGCCATAAGATAGGCATAAAGCTCAGCTCTACATGTATTATGAACTCATTCAACCTTCACGACAATCCCATGAGGCATTATTATTATTATTATGTCCCACTTTATAGCCAGAAAGTCAGGTCTCATTTCCAGTCAGTAAATGGCAGAGCAGGCAATTGGGATCTTACCCACCAGCACCATCAGTAAACAGAGGAGAAGAAAGGGTGTTAGCATTTGCTGCCCATTTCCACAAACAGCCTTTTCCAGTAGAGGCAAATGCCCACACCTTGCAGTAGGATGTTGTCCCCACTCCATTCCCCCAAATCCTAACTTACTCTTGGAAAGCCGGCAGCACATTGACCGACTCTTCTGTAGGGAGGTTCTGATACGAGGGGATGGAGTGAGAATGTGGGGGATACACCTGGGGCCTGGGGAAAGAAAACAGATCCCTGAAGTCAGCCCTCCCTACCTTAGGAGGGGGAATTCCCTTCATGGGAGAGAAAATTCTCTGCTTCAGCCCCCATACCAACTCTCCCAGCCACCCAAGCTGAAGGTTCATCTGCACAGACCACATCCCTCCCCATTTATCCAGTTCCTTACGCCATATCTGGGCCAAGCTGCATGCTCATGGAAGAATCAGGAGGCATTCCAAGATCATAAGGTGGCACCATGGTAGTCACCTGGGGCTCTGGAGTGAGAATAGGCTGGTCCCTGGAGGAGAGAGGAAGGCACAGGTGACTGATGAAGGCATGAGGCTGCCACTCCTTCCTGCAGGTCAATACCAACCCCTAGCTGCCACCCACCATCCATGGCCCCACACTAACCTTTCTACAGTCATCTTGATGATAGCTGGGACATAACCCCTGCCATCCTTCCCCATCTGTTCAGCTGTTGTGGGAAGGAAAGGAGAGTCATAAATGCTCCAGGGGTAGGGAGAAAGGGCGGTAGAAAAGCAGGGAAGACTGATGGGCAGGTAGAAGTGGGGCTAAAAAGGGGAAGGGAAGTTAGGGATGATATATAGCAGACAGGGAGAAAGGTACGGCTGGGATAAGGGAAGTGGTGGGCAACTAGAGGGCATCAATGCTGCCAGCTGCAGCTTACGCTTATAGTGGCTCCGGAAAGCCTCGTCCTTGGGTTTCTTGGGGTAGAGGTTTCTGAGCTGAGCAAGGTCCCGGATTCGGTCTCCCAGTGAACGAATGGACAAGTCTTTGGCAGAGAACGGTTGGATGTTCTCTATCTGTGGGGAACCTATGACAGGAATGAGACCTTGGGTTTCCTCTGTACAGTCTCCCCCTTCCCTACCCCTGGCACAGGACCCATTCTCATTCCACCAAGGCAAGGGAGAGTGAACTTAGATCTGAGGGAGGGAAATCCACTAGTCTCTATTGCCATGAGCTCACAGCAAGAGGTAGAAATTAAGACCACAGAGGAGGAAGAGAAGTTGGACCCAAGGAAGAAGTTCCTGAAGATCAGGTTGGCATCAAGGAAAGCCAAAACATTTCCTTCCCAGTAGAAACCCCAGAGGGCATAGGTACAGAGGCAGAGGACTAGCTAGGGTTGGGGTGACCTCACCATCCTGGCCCCGGATGACATGGGCAATGGTGATGCCCCCAATCTCTGAGTCACTGAAGCGTAGGAGGAAGGTTCCATCAGGCTCATTGAGAAGAAGGCTAGTGACATATTGTTTGCTGATGAAGCCAATGATCAGCCTGGACAGAATGAAGGAAAAGATAGGGTGTGGGTACTGGATATGGAGAGGGAGCCAGAGGTATAGTTGCTCAGACCACCTGGGGCAGATACACACCGGTCTGACCAGTAGCTTCGGAGACAGCGTTTGGTGAGGTCCAGAACACCATCGAACCACTGCCAAAAGGTAAAGCCACGGCCCAGCAGGATCTCCTAGGAGGGGGAGAGGGAGCTGGGGTGAGCAGGGGTGGGGGCAGAGCTGGAGCCTGGTTAGGGAGGCCCATCAATGACATTCTCAACATGATTACATTGTGTTAGGCACCATTCCAAGCCTTTCCATATATTATTTGCTCTTTACAAGAATATAGAGGAAGGTACAATAACAATCCTATCTTACAGACAATGAAATGGAAGTCCAGAAGGATCAAGTGATTTGTCCACACCCACATAGCGGTTGAGAGGGAGAGCTGGGATTCAAGCCCAAGCAGTGTGGTACTGGTGCCCCTTATAACTCCCATACTAATCTCCATCCCTACTGAGGGCTGGCAGAGATGGACTTCAGAGGAAAGTGAGTGACTTGCTGGCTATAATTTCCATGCTCCTTTTACTAGCATGTCATGTGGGCTTCTTTTTCCTCCTTTTAAAAAATATTTATTTACTTATTACAGTATTGCAATTGAGCCCAGGGCCTTGTGCGTGCTAGGCAAGTGCTCAGTCACTGAGCTATGTTCCAGCTCTTTTATTTTATTTCAAGACAAGGTCTTGCTAAGTTGCCCAGACTGGCTTCAAACTTTCAATCCTCCTGCCTCAACCTCCCAAGTAGCTGGGATTACAGGAGCGCACCACTGCACCTGCCTCCTCTTTTTGTTTTGTTTTAAAGGGAGTAGTACATGGCTGTGTTTACCCAGCTAGGTGTCAACCAAGACACCAGATCTGCTTCTTCTCATGTTCTTTTAACTGACCTAGTCCTGAACTACCTCATTTTGGAGGCAGTAAAATATAGTAACTAGAGCTCCATCCTAGCCATGCAGCTCACTGCTATGAGACTCTAGACAAACTAGTTAACTTCTCTAACCATAGCTTCCTTATCTGTAAAATAGAAATAAAAATAGAACCCACCTTAAAGGAATGTTGAGAGGATTAAGTGAGATAACATACATAAAGTGTAAAACATTGTGCTTGGCACAGT